AATGAATATATAGACACTTCTTAAACATACTGTATCTCACAAAGAGATTAAAGAACAGATATTCGTAATAGTAACCAGTCTGTGAAATTGTTTAACTTTTGACTGTCTACATTGTAGCTTTACCCCTTATGTGGCCACTGAGAGCTGTCATTACAGTAATTACACACTCTGGACAGGGCTATTGTGACATGATAATGGCTGAATATTGGTAACTAACAGCCTCAGGTGTAGCTGAGGGAGGTCACCAACTGTTTGAAGATCTACTGTCCACAATGGCAATTGTCATTAAGCATCAATTCCAGCTAATGGCCTTTAATAAATCACTCTAGAATCCAAATCAACTGCTAAAACAAGTGCACAACATACACATGGTAAAGTGTTTCTCCCCTCCTTTTTATTGTAGTAATTACATGCTTTGTTGTCAGTACCTGTGATGGCATGATATAGAATTATAAGAACATACAGCTTGGACAAACTTGGCAAATTGAACATGTCCATATTGATCAGTTGATGCTGAAGTCATTTTATATTCTTGTGCTTAAAGGTATCCTATGCTGCAGAAGGCAGAAAATGTTAATTTAAATTACATTTTCTAAATCACACTTCCAGTTTTGTTACAGTTTATTTATTACAGTCCATACGTTTTGAGTTTATTGAGAATTGTATGATAAATGTGTTTAAAGGGTTCACCTTTACTGATTTTTGTCCAACATATCCCCAAGCATTAAGGGCATCCTCAGTACTTTAAAGCAGAACTAAACCCACCAAAACAGTTACATTTTAGTCATGTCATTAATGATAACTGTCACAGTTGTTTGTGCTCTCGAATGAACTGTCAATCTATCACATGGTTGGTGTCATAGCTGATTACATGTGTAGCACTGTGGCAACTGCAGATCAAGCCAAGGCTAAGATGGTGGTTTCCCTGGCTATAAAGGATAGGAGTGCTTAGATCCACTTTAACATGCAGCATTCAATTTTGAAAAAATGCTTACTTTTTAAAGCGACGTTCCACCCAATTTTTGAAGTTCTTCCCCCCCTGCGTTGCCGATCACAGTAATGTTTGAAAAATTTTTTTTTAAAAGCATATTGCCTTTTTGTCCATTAAACAGGTTCAATTCCGCTATACCTCACCAAGGCGAGATACGTCATATCAGGCCACCCGTTGGCTCCTGGGTTATAAGTGTCATCAATCCCAGGAGTCAATGGGCAGCCTCTGCTTCTAGCATCATGGTATTTCCAAACCAGAAATGACAAGATGCCAGGTGGAGATAAGCGGAGATGACTGTGCTGCACTTTGCATGCACTGCACATGCGTGAGATCGGTAGGTGCATACTGGGTAGCCAGCAGCACCATATCCCGGAAAGAGCTACGAGCAGGCTTCATATGCCCACACTGAAGATGACAGCACACTTGCTACAGAGGTGATGCAGTACATTGCATAATAATATAACAAAAAAGACATTTATCATTTATTACATATGTCAGAATGTATTATATAAGCTGCGACCATCGTGGGGGTGTTTTTAGGGGGAAAAAAGGCTGGAACTCCGCTTTAAGCTGTTCATTTCATTGACCTCCTCTGTGCCGCAGATGGCAGAAAATACTGGGAGTTGGGTGCATAGACCCAGAAACTCACAAATTTGTTTCCTACCCATGCATGCACAGTCCGCTCTCCTGTAGAATGGTGAGCAGACTGCACATGTGTGAGTAAGGAACAAAGCCAAGTGCTTATTCTTGAGTTTCTGGGGCTGCACATCCCACACTCGATACATTCTTTCATCTGCAGGATGGAGAGGGGAAGGCAGTGGATTGCATTCATTTACAAAATGGAACACTGCATGTTAATGTATTTAGGATACTGTAATGCTTGGAAATGTTTTTGCCAAAAGTCATCAAAATTGAACTAACCCTTTAATCACAATTAAAAGTAAAGTGACTGCTTTTTTCAATTTAGCTTTCTATTTGTAGCACATACTCAGTCCAATAGGGCTTTGAAAAATAATAATAGGAATTGGAGACCTTCTTAGAAGAGTGTACAGGCTGGCCATAGATGCTTTGTTTTTATTCGATCAGCCGTCGGGCTGATCAAAAAAAGCAAAAAAATCCCCCCCAAAAAACAAATTTCTCCATCCACACATGTTAGGTGGACGGAGGAATCCTGCCCACTGTGCCATTGTATTATGACAGCAAGATTCCTCTGCTGTCAGAAAACACTGATCAGCACTGCAGCTGTATTGGTTGATCGAGCAAAAATCTCCAAGAGGTACATTCGTCAGAAATCAACCAGTAAATAGATGCTAGACGGATAGACCTGACATTAGACTCTACTTTGTAACAGGCCACAGGACCCGATTCACTATAGTGTAACCTCTTGCCCACCGCCATTGGAGGTTTCTGCTGTCTATCACTGGGTCCTGGCTGGAGATTCCCCACTGGCACCTGGCGATCGCCAAGTATCACTGACGGAGTCGAGGTCTGTATGTAATAAACAATACAGATCTCTCCAATGTCAGCTCCAGCATACTGCTTTGTATGGCTCTGCATAGCAGAGCCATACAAAGCAGTGTACTTACAGTTGAAAGCACACACAGCACATAATGTGAAAGCACACACAGCACACAGGTAACCTTTTGATCACTCCATATGTTAATCCCTTCCTGCCCAGTGTCATTAGCGCAGTGTTAGTGCTCTTTATTGTATTGATCACTCTATTAGTGTCACTGGGGATGTCAGTTACAGTTAGTCAGTTCCTCCCAGTGTCAGAATGCCCGCCGCAGTCCAGCAGTCCCACTATAAGTCGCTGATCGCCACCACTACTAGTATAAGAAAAAACTATTCCGATATATATACCGCCATTTTTAGATGCTATAACTTTCACATAAACCAATTCATTTACACATATTGGGATTTTTTTAGCAAAGACATGCAACAGAATACATGTTGGCCTAAATTTATGACGAAATTAGATTTTTACATTTTTTTTACTGGATATGTTTTATAGGAAAAAGCCAAAAAATTGTTTTTTTTTTTCCAAAATTGTCTGTATTTTTTTGTTTATAGCGCAAAAAATAAAAAACACAGATGCGATCAAATACCACTAAAAGAAAGCTCCATTTGTGGGAAAAAAAAGGACATAAATATCATTGTGGTGCAGCGTTGCATGACCACGCAATTGTCATTTAAATTAACGCAGCACCGTATCACAAAAAATGGCCTGGTCAGGAAGGGGGGTAAATTCCCTGGAGGGCAAGTGGGTAAAGTGAATGTGCCTTGATTTAAATTTTAGATTGGATGTTTAAACACGTTTATTTTGTCCTCACTTTACACAACAGTAAATAAGGCTTTGTGTGTTAAAGGGTCAAAGGAGTGCTCCACCCAAAATTATATTTCAATTATAAGTGCAGTGTGGTGGGACAGGTGCAGCTTTTTTTTCCATTCGCTGAAGCAGTAGGTGATTGCTAATGCTTGACACATGGTCATACATTTTTATCACCACGACAACTATGGTATATATATGTTATAGTATAAATTGTTCTTGTTGCCTGAAGACTCTCCAATCACCCGAAGTCATACATGAGCAAATCTTTTAACAAAGCATATTTCTTGATACAGTAATAGGGCCTTGAATGTTATCCTTAACTGTAAGAAAAGTGTACTCAATTTGCAAAAGCTATATAAGTTAGATGTGATCAGTGCAGAGAAAAAAAAGAACGGCAGTAGTCCTGTCCAAGCAATGAACATGTTGGAAAATACAATTAGGCAAGTCTCTTACTGCCCTTTTATGGATAGCTTAACCCCTTGACGCTGGCCATACGCAAATATGCGTCCTCTCTGCAGCTGGGCCTTGACGCCCAGCAGGCGCATATTTGCATACCATTTCATAAGACATATGTGCTAAGAGCACGCACACTCTGTGCTCCTAGCACATTTGTCAGTGTCTCATGGAAAGGTCCCGATCTCCCCTTGCAATCGGGACCTTTTCCGACCATGTGTGACCACCATGACAGCTAATCGCGGCTGTTACATGACCCTGAAACCCCGCCCCACCTCCAGGCATCTGAAATTCCTTAAAGGGCTGGGAGGTGCTGGTGTGAAGAGGTTAACAACTCTCCTGTATTACTGTGTTACTGAATAAATAGAGCAGAGAGTTCCCATTACGCGTTAAAATACAAGTAACCAAAAGCAAGGGTCTCAGACAATCACAAGGCTATCTCAAGGCGGTATCAAAAGTTTCAAGATGGCAGCACAAGGTTACATGCACAGTCATGGGAAGCACCAACCTTGATAGGCCAGTGTGCCAAAAGACATCATCCTGTATATATCGGGAGCTGTGCAACTGGTGCTATTCTGACCACATGCGTTACCACATCTGCTATTTCATCATGGACAGCAAGTTAGAACAAAGAGCAAATGTAAAATTCTGCTTGAAACTGGGAAAATCTGCTACAGAGATGTTTGACATAATTCAGCAAGTTTATGGCAATTATGCAAATAAGTCGTTTGAGGTGTTTTGAGTGGCACGTGTGCTTTAAGAGTGGAAGAACATCACTGGAAGACAACGAGAGATCAGGAAGACATTCATGAGCTCAACCCCCGAAAATGCTGCTATTCTTGAAGGTGAAGATCCAGCTTAATGGTCACCATTTTGACAACAGTGCCGAGATCCAGAGATCCTATGGACATAGCTGACGGTAAACAGCCAATCATGTGTGGCCTTTTACCACGTGATCAGCTGTGTCCAATGACACAGAGATCACTGGGCAAATACAGTTGCCGGTTATCGGCTGCACTTTCCTCACGCTGTCACAGTGTGAGGAAAGTACTGCCGAGAACAGGCAATTGTCAGCAAAGGGATCAGCACTGATCATCAGGGCACTGATGATCAGTGCCCAGCAGTGCCACCCACCAGTGCCACCCACCTGTGCCTAGAGTTACCACCCACCTGTGCCCAGCAGTTCCACCAACTTGTCCTGCAGTGCCACCCACCTGTGCCCATCAGTGCCACCCACCTGTGCCCATCAGCAGTGCCACCCACCTGTGCCACTCAGCAGTGCCACCCGTGTGCCCTGCAGTGCCACCCACGTGTGCCCATCAGTGCCACCCACCTGTGCCACTCAGCAGTATCACCCACCTGTGCCACTCAGCAGTGCAACCCACCTGTGCCCAGCAGTGCAACCCATCATTGCTGCCCATTAGTGCCGCCCATCAGTGCCGCCTATCAGTGCCAGCTCATCAGTGCCACCTATCAATACCGCCTATCAGTGCCCATCAGTGCTGCATATCCCTGCCACCTCATCAGTGCCCATCAGTGCTGCCTATCAGTGCCCATCAGTACTGCCTATCAACGCACATCAGTGAAGGAGAAAAATTACCTGTTTGCAAAATTTCATATTAGATACAAAGAAAAACTTTTTTTTCAAAATGTTTGCTCTTTTTTTGTTTATAGCACAAAAAGTAAAACACCCAGCAGTGATTAAATACCACCAAAAGAAAGCTCTATTTGTGTAAAAAAATTATAAAAATGTCATATGGGTAAAATGTTGCATGACCGCGCAATTGTCTTACAAAGTGCGACAGTTCTGAAAACTGAAAATTGGTCTGGGCAGAAAGGGGGTATAAGTGCCCAATATTGAAATGGTTAAGGGGGTAGGATCAACATGTATAAATACATCAGTGGTTTATATAGTGAACTTGGTGTAGAGTTATTCACCCGGAGATCATCACAGAGGGCAAGGGGGCACTCTTTATGTCTGGAGAAAAAGAGATTTAATCTCCAAACACGGAAAGGTTTCTTCACAGTGAGAGCTGTAAAAATGTGTAATAGACTCCCCCAAGAGTTAGTTCTGGCCAGCTCAGTGGATTGCTTTAAAAAAGGCCTGGATTCTTTCTTGGATACACAGAATATAACTGGATACTAACATTTATAGGTAAAGTTGATCCAGAAAAAAATATAATATAAAACATCAAAACAGTGCAAATAAAATAAAATTAATATTCAATGAAAAATTATACCAAAAAAACTTATATAGTGTAAAAATTCAAAATAAATAAAAAAAATATATAAAATAAATTAGTCCCACTCCAAACTGTTAAAAAGAATAAGGTGAATAAAATAAAATTGAAAAAGTCCTTCTCCAAAGAGCCTTTGACCCGTGTTGACACCGTATTAGTGCTCAAATAACATACCGCACTCATTGGTGAAAAAAACGCCTTTTTAGGGTTTTTTGGGATCCTAGACCCAGTTAATACAGCCTCCAATCACTGGGTTTAGCATGGACTTCCCCCATTCCAGGTCAGGATATAAACCAGCCTCCAACCTCCAGGATCAACAGAAACCACTCGCCAAAAAGGATATGATTGATGCAGAGAAAAAGAATATATATATAGTGTAATACTTCAAAACTAAGACAGGATCAATTTCCAAGTACCAAACCACTCACAGTTAAAAGATATAATCAACATTTATTGTTTTAAATGGAGCTAAAAACGTCACATCACCAGGGTATTTTAGGATCTCACAGTCAGCAACAGATGACAGCATAAGAATCACCCTCAAGCAAGATGGCCCCTGAGAGCGCCACATGCCTTCCTCTGGATCAATGGTGGGTGTAGGATTATAACATTTTTTTTTGGTTAAACTAGATGGACCTTTGTCTTTTTTTAGCCAGACTAACTATGTAACTCATCACACCACCTAATGCTGTTTGAAACGCTGTGTGGGGAGCAGTGTTTGGGTTGCAGGGCAGTGTGAACAGGCCTTTAGGCCTTGTTCATACCATATGTGCAAAAAAAACTGACAGAAAAAAAAAACCATGAAGATATGATTTGCATCGAATATTTTGGGCTTGTTCACGCATGACATTAGCATATTGAAGCTTATATTCATTGGTTGGGTTACATTATTATTGTTATTATTATTATTACAAGTGTTTATATAGTGCTAACAATGTATGCTTTGCCTACTGTACATTCACATCAGTCCCTGCCTTCAAGGAGCTTACAATCTACTATCCTATCCCCTCCTATTCCTTCTGTACTGAAATGTATTGTAATTGTACTCTCTCTGATATTGTAAATTGCTGCGCAAACTGTTGGTGCTATTTAAATCCTGTATTATAATAATAATAATAATAATAATAATAATAATATACATACACACACAAACTAAGGCCAGTTTAGATGGGAACCAATAAACCCACCATCATGTTTTTAGAGTGCAGGAGGAAGCCGGAGTTCTCGGAGGAAACCCACGCAAGAGCATGAAGAATATACAATATACATGCACATCCACAGACTTTACCCCAGTGGCCACAGTGCTGCAAACAACTGGCAGATGCCCATTGCTCATGACTGGCCTACTATATGATACATAACACTGTGGCTCAATCTCTTCATGTATGTCAGGCAATAATATAAGATCAATGGGAGAATTAAGATGAATATCTATAGGTCATGATCTGGTCATAAGAGCAGAATACAGTACAGCCTGTTTTATCAGCGACATTTCATCTCTGCAGTCAAGTGTCTCTTAGCCAGTGTAGTTCTTATCTGCTATCATGTCCTCTTGTCTACAGAGATGTAAGGTGCGGGGAAATGTCAGAGGTTTATAGGGACAGATAATGATCTTTTCCAATCTTTGATGCTCCAGGAAGACGAAAGGGTTAAGCATTTTACATTCTTTTACAGTATACACATTTACTGTTCAATGAGTCCCCCCTCCCATTTTCCACCTTCCCCTCCCTCTCTTTTATTTTCCCACTCTCCTGCCTACCCGCCCCATCTATTTTGATTCCTTTCAGTTTCCCACTCTTTCTTAGGCAAGCCCTCCAAGTCCCTAACCTCCCCCTCCTCATGTCTGGGCTGATTTCCCTCTCTTTCTAACATATCCCTCCACGTCTCCACCTTTTAACTCAGCATAATGCTGCTGGGTATGCACAAATAAGGTTTCTAGGATGTATTGTTGACACCTGCAGTATAACTGGTGAAAAGTCCAGGATTAATGCATGTGGTTATAATAACAGAAGTTTCTATCTCTGCAGTTAAAGGTATATATTTTTTTTAGTATCTAGAAAAAATGTATTGCTATATTGGGGTAGCTCCAGAAATAATATATTTTACATTTGGAAAGTCCGGTTATTGATCTTGTAAACTGAAATGGGGGTTATTTACTAAAACTGGAGAGTGCAAAATCCTGTGCGCTGTGCATAGAAACCATTCAGCTTCCAGGTTTTATTGCCTAAGCTTAAAGTGGAGTTCCACCTGAACACAAAAAAAAAAATAAAAGTCTGCAGCTACAAAAACTATACCTGCTGACTCTTAAAATACTTACCTGTCCCTCGATCCTGCAGTGTCCTCACCACCACTGGTTTCACTGGCCGTCTTCTCTCCCTGGTGCCAGCATCTTCAGAGTGGGCACCTGGCTGTGACAGCTTGTGGCTTCACAGCCGGGTGCCCACTGCGCATGCTCAAGAAGCGCTGTGCGTTGTGAATGGCGCCGTAGTCTTCTGGGACCTGTCACATGTCCCAGAAGACTACGGGGAGGGGGGGGGGAGGACAACTTCTGCAACTGTTGTGAAAAACCAATAATATCCTATTTTATCCTACAATTTATATCATTTTGTTTATCCCACCACTTAGCCCATATACCAAAATCAGTAGACTTTAAAGTGGAACTTCACTCTCTCAATCACTTTTTACATTTCTTCAGTTACTTCCTGGTTTCCTGCCTAGGCAAATTATGTCATACATCCCAGCAGTCTTCAGAAGGGGAGGGAAGGTTCTCAGCTCAGCTAATGTCTGAGCTAAGGGCAGATAGATTCCAGGAATCAACATTGACTATTTTTAATCCTTAAGCTGCTAGCATTAGTAAAAATTAAATCATATTTACCAGTTTTATTTATTTTTTTAATTTCTTTATTTTTACTGTTTTTCTTGCCTAGGCAAATTATGTCATACATCCCAGGAATCTTCAGGAGGGGAGGTTGGGGTTTTCTCAGCTAAGTACACCCCCTTGCCTGCATGCCTGAGCTAAGGGCAGATGGATTCTAGGAAGTAAATCTACATGAATCATCTGCCCTTACTCAAGATGGCCACTGCTAGAAATGCCAGGTGGTGTTTTTCAAAGTGATTTTTCAGCAAAGCAAAGCATGGAGACACAGATGGATGGGTGAGTTTGCTTCGAATATTGACAATGAATTAAATATCATTTTTGGTTTGTGGTGCTCAGATGTAGCGCAGTTCCACCTTAAGATTAGTGCAAAAGGCATTTCTGATTGAACCAGATTCGATTTCTATCTGCAAAAGGTAACAGCGGTAAAAATATGCAACTTTTACAGTTACCTATTCTAGAGGTATGGTAGATTGTTGCATCAAAAATGTTCGAGATGTCCCTGAAAAAAAGGAAATTACTTGCAATTATACGATGATGCAACAGAAGGATGATTCAGGGATGTTCAGGATTACTGTTAGCCTAGGTTCACACACATGCATGCTGAAATCGCTTAGCTTTGTATTGCGATTTAGGCATGTGGTTCTCCGTGAATACCATTGCGGTTTCATTTTGATTTCAGTAGAGGTGTGATTTTGGCTTCACCCTTCTCCATAGGACTTTCATGTGCCCAGAGCATACGCTTTCTTTCTCCCCCCAATCACCCCCCCCCCCCACCCCCACACCTTATTCTCCTATGCAAAAAGCCATTCCATATTCTTCTATGCAAAAACACACATGAATCGCATTTCTGAACACTTATCTCTAAATCTCACTATATACTATGGCTTGCGATTTTGAAATACAATGCTCCAAACTCACACAGGACCCTTTTTTTCATCCGCATGTGTTTGGGTCACATGTTTATGAACCAGCTACATAGGAACACATGCTGTCTGGTCTGTCATGCGATTTTGTGCCATTCAAAATGCATCCTGATTCACATATTATTAATATTATTATACAGCGCCAACAGTTTGCTCAGCGCTTTACAATATAACGGGAGACAATACACATGTGTGAACCATGGCTTAGGGGGTCAAGAAAAGTGTTATAGCTAACTGAATGTTGTTGTAAAGGTGCCTTGCCTTGCCTCCTGGTCAAGTATGATTTCTGAGGATGCAACTAGATGCCAATGTATTTTTTCATCCATGTAACTGCCTGATATTAACGGTCCCTATGGCTTCGATCAGGGTTTCTCAACCTTGGCGCCCTTTATGCAATATCTTAAGGCAACCCAGTTTAAATTGTAAAAACTTAAATGTTATTTATCAATGGGAAATCTGAGCCTGAGACTATGCACGCAGCTGCCTGGATGAAATTAACTTTACATCAGAAGCCCCCCCTTCACAGTAGATGTCCCCCATCAAATCAAGCCTCGTACACACGATAAGGATATTGGATGAATGATTGCCCAATTTTTTGCATGCTAGTCTCATA